ACCGAAACCGGCCACAGCATTCGGATGAAGAAGAGAAATCTTCCGCGCTTCAAGTTTAGGTCTCTTCCCAAGATCTTTGGCCGAATAAATAGCATGGAAATCCCCCCCATGCCACCCGATGAGCTTCTGCTGGAGTCCATCTCTTGAAACATAAGCTATTTCTGTCTGTGTAGGTGCTTCTTATAGCCTGAGTGAAGATTGCATTATGTCTCCAAATACTTCCTGAATTATCCTTGTGTGCAACAGATTCCAGAATCCAACCCAGAAGGACATTTTGATGAAAAAAACAAACAAAAAAAACCAAACAAAAAACCCACAAAAAACCTACAAACAGTTTCCTGGTTGTGTTTTCGCCGTTGGGGACTGTTTGCATTGCAGCACTCTCCACCACGTTATCGCTGAAATACCTGAAGCAGCCGTTATCAATGCCAGTACTTCTCCCATGCTGAACTGCCGCTGGGTTCAGGTCCCTCTTATTTCTGTTGTTTCAGTGCTTCTACACATTTGTCATTTTTGAAAAGTCCTCCCGAATCCTGAGTGTAAGCAGGTGGCTCAGCCTCAGTGCAGTTCAGGGAGGTAGTACTGGGAGAGTTTCAGTCCCAACTGCAGCTGCCCGTGGCCTGTGATGGCTCTTAGAGTATCCACCCTCCCATGAGGGTCTAGATGAGGACAGTTAAAGTAAACTGAACCTCCTTCCGTTAAAAAAACCCAACCATTATCTGGACCTAAAGCAGCCTAATCTAGTCCGCAAGACTGTAACTTTACCAACATATATAGAGCAAAGAGTATTAACCTATATCCACATCAGTGTTAAAGTGAGTTCTCCAACAAACTGGGGTCAGCTCATGCTATTGAAAAAGGCACCCAGAGCTGAGCAAGGGAATCTGCCCAGGTCCCAGGAGCTATGGGATGCTTATCTGGTTCTGAGGGGATGAATACTTGGAAGACTGTGACTGGATACACCATAAGAAAAGACAAAGGATGAGGGACAGCTCCCATGGCACATTTGCTCACAGAGATCCAGCATAAGCCGAAAAAGGGAGGATTAGTAGCTGACGTTTCTGTCTCTTGTGTCATTATTGGGTGTCTTGCATTATCTGGCATTTTGCTAAAGCCTGTGGTTGCAGATTAAGATGTTATCCAAGCCTCTCTGTTTTGCTTTAAAAACCAAAAAAAGGTCCCTACCCTTGCTGGGTACTGAGAAAAGTTTACAACACTGACCCGAGAACACTCATAAGATTTCAAACTCGGGAGGAAATAAAATTATCTCAACATGTATTTTAGCACCATGGTAATTATTTCAAGTGTTTGTAAATAGCCTCATTGTGCACCATGTCTGCTCTCCAAGCAGTAGTGCAATTTGCAGAGGGGGGGACCCCAGTTCGGGGCTCAGAGAGGCCCCCATTGCCACCATGGCTCACACAGCAGCCAGCATGGGGGTGACTTCTCGTGGGCTAAGGGATCGATGACTGCAATGCCAAAAAACACTTCGGGAATTGTATAAGTAACCATAGCAGAGGACGTTTGATAGAAAACAGCTTTGCTGATGTCTGGATGCACATTTCCAACCCGTGTGGCATTTCTGGGGAAGCACAGAGCAGCCAGTGGTTTATTTTTGTGTTGCCAATGTCAGTCTTAAAATTTCAGGGGGGATCCAGACAACCTGGAGGAATTTGCTTTGGTACTTACAGTGTGGGAGATGGGCAGAAAACACTGGGACAGGCAGAAAACACACTGCCCAGCAGCTCTGTCCCAAATCTCCTCCTCTCACCAAAAAAAGGTAAGAATAACAAAAGGAAATGTTTTCCTTGTTTGCTTGGAAGGGAAGGAAAAAAAGAAGTTTTCAGGGCTGAAGAAAGCTGCTTCAAGATGGCACAAACCCAGCAGAGTGAGCAGGCAAACAGGAAACCCAAGCAAAACCTCACCAATGCCACCACAGACAGAACAGGACAGATCACATCACCAGTGCCTTAACTGGGAACGCGGTTGTAACCTGCGAGTGTCTTTCAGGAGTTGTACAACCCTGAGGAGCTGGGGTGGACATCCAGGTAGCCCTCAATAACCACAGGTAGATATTTTTAAGACCTCCTGACTGTATTGCGGCTCCAACCTTACTGGCAGCACCAGCTCCAGGTTTCCCAGTAGCTCCAGTTACCACTGGGACTTTGCCAGCTTGTTTTCAGATTGCACGGCTTATCTGAAATTTCTGCTATGCCGCTTCCCCCTTTCAAAAGGGAAACAGGAAAAAGAAAGCAAAACAGAAACTCTCACTGATCCATCACAGACACAGCAGCAACCCTCAGAGAAAAAAATCCCTTTCTGGGTTAGATGCACTGGATAGTAAGGATTTCACTGGGTTTTACCCTAATGAAACCCCGAGGAAATATCCTTTTCCAGTGCAGACGGATGTTCTCTGCCCTTCACAGGCCATGAGATGCCTGCCAGCCCCTCCTGTTTCACCACAGGACGCCAAGACCCTCTACAGACACCCTGGCTGGGTGTTTGGACCCAAATTACAGGGATCTGGGGTCAGCAGGAGCCTGGCTGCACAGATGCTTCAGTGAGAGTGGGACAGACAGACAGGGATGCTGCTGGTTTCCAGTGCAGAGATGCAGGAGCAGCGGGTTTCACTGGTTCGGGTACCTCATGGGGCAGCAGGTCAGTGTGGGTTGGGGAATGTCTGGCTCTACTGTGCTCCTAAAAACACTTAGGTAAAAAGCTGCCATACTGAGGACTTGCTTTGCTGGGGCCAAGGTGTAAGCTAATGTCTTACAAAGGAAAAGCTCAAGGTTGACTAGAAGGGAGAGCAAGGACTGGGAGCTGACATGTGGGGGGAAAAGGACAGGGTGAATTAGGGCTTTTCAAGATTTCTCTCTTAAAGCCATTACCTGTGGGCATTAAACCTTTATTCACATGGCAAAACCAGCCCGTAATAACCCCAGTGTTGTGCTTTAGCCTCATTAACTTCCAGGTGAACTATCAGAGACTCTGTCCACATGCTCCTGAGTGGGTCCAGCAGCAATAGCTCCAGGAGTGCATCCTTTACCCAGGGCACTCTGGTCCTCAGGTACCATCCTCAGCTCTTCTGACATAGCAATACATGGCACGATGCTCTGGTCTCGGCCAGCCCCAGAGCTCAGACCAATAACGTGCCAGTAATGATTTTGGGTGTGATAATTTCCTTCCCAGCAAGGCGTGCTCAAGGGAGTGGCAAGAGGGAGAGCAGCAAAGCAGCAGCTCAGTTGGACTCCACTGGCACCAACAACAACTCCATATCCCAAGCTGCTCACATGCAATTAATTATTCTATAAGGCTTAATGCTTTATGACTGACTTGGACTAGAATCGCTTAGTTGCTTTTATATATACGTGTCCATCCATATACACATACACCCCTGCACACGTACTACACTTACATACACCTAAAATTATGCAGTACTTGGAAAAATCAAAAAAAAATCTTGCTGCACAACACCTTCTAGGGCACCGCAAGGAAGGAGTGAAGGTTGCTTTTCTCTTTGCTAAAAATACTTTTTTCCTCCCTCCATGACCTCATGCTTCCAGCCCAGCCCCAGCAAAGTGCCTTTGCCTCTGGAAAACCACTCAGCCTCAGCTCTTGGCAGCGCTCGCACTACCTCTACCCAGTAGCGAGACTCGGACACCGATGATTTCTGGCACGGTGCTACCAGCCACCACTGCTGGCAAAGAGCTGCTTCTCCATCCACCCACCTTGCACCGAGGAGAGGGGAAAATGCTGTGCCTGGCACAGTAACACACACACAAACAGCTTCAATCCTAATTGTAACCTAAATGCACTGAAAGCAAATTTTCCTGCTTTAAACCAAGCCAGGAAGCGGTTTTCCAGACAGCCATGATTTCATCAGACACGAGTCCAACTTTTTGATTTAAGGGCTCAGCCAGCAACACCCTGCAAAGCCCGAGTCACTGGGACAGCACCATTTTAGAGACCCAGGGCTGTCTGTCAGTCCCTCCTGTGCTGCAGGGTCCTGTCCACAGCACAAGGGAAAAGGTTTTTGGGAGCTCTTCGTAGATGCTGTGGACACTTTCAGCACTGCAGGGGTTAGCTTTCCTCCAAAACAACATCAAAGCCTCATCCTTGCAGCAGTCAGCAAGTCTTTTTTTTCAGGAATTGCCACGCTGGTTGCTCCATCCTGCTCCTTTTATTGGGGCTTATTTTTTATTTTAAATAAAATCTCCCTGCTGTAGGCAGATAGGGCAGGGACCAAGGCTAGGGAGGAAAATCCAGAACGTTTAAGCCCCTGGCCTGTGCATGCCCTTCCCCAGGCTCTGCCTGGGTCATCACCAAGCAAAACATCCCCAGCCACATGGAGAGAAGGCAGATATGCAACCTATTATCTGGAATTATGTCAGCGCAGACCAGAAATACCTTAGATGTGTCTGTCTGAGGATCTCCTACAAGGTCATGAAGCACAAGCTTAGATGAACTGAAAATTTCCAATTTTTATAAGATAAAAATGTACATATAAGATAAAACATAAGTAATATAAAAATATAAGTATTAGATGAAATTTTATCTTATACTTCAAAATAATTGCTCTGTGATTTGGTGCCCAGCTGCAAGTTCTCCTGATTTTTGGTGGCCTCAACTTTGGCAGGTTTGGGAAGGGACAGCACAAAGCCGAAGAAGGGGCTGAGCCACCACGAGTGACAGCTCTGAGCCACCTGGAGTGACAGGAAAAGGGATGGATGCTGGCTGCGATGCACCCCGGCTGTGCACAGAGCGCGGCAACAGCAAAACAGGATATGGTTATGCTCTGAGAGATGTTTTTGAAGCACAACGTCTATCTGTACAGTAAATACACTCGCTGACCTGAGCGCAGGCTGGGCTTTCTTATAAATAGGCTGGCTTCTGTGGAAATGAAAGTGCAAAATTGAGCGTCCACTACACGTTTGCTTAGG